TTATTATTATTATTATTATTATTATTATTATTACTATTATTATTAACACGATCTCCGCTTGCCTCACGCCAGAGCCACAATCTGGACAGTCTCTCGGACGCCCATGGCGCGGTCTCGCGTGAGCTGCTGCTGTTTGTCCGCGGGTTTGAGCAGCGCGTGATTATGACGCGCGACATCAGAGAGAATCTCGAGAAGAGGAAAGCCGAGGCCAAGAGGAAGCTGCAGATCTGTCGGGACGGCGTCATCAAATGGACGGACTACCTCAAGGTGAATGATTCTTACGCTTCTATTCTTTCTTTGTTTCCACGAAAAAGTGCTCTTTAGTTTTAGTAGAGTTTAAAAAAAAGTTTTGGTAGAGGTTTTACGGCGCTCGCAACTGCATAATGTCATATGAGCGCCAGAAGATTAGAGGTGTTACAAAAGAGCAACACATATAAAAAAGAAGAAGGGGAGATAACGATATATGTTTGATAGGAAAGAAGAAGCAAACCACACCAGAGCACCCGCCAACCACCCACAATTCTTTCTTTGCTTCCACGAAAAATTGCTCTATCTGGCACACGCATTGGTAATCACGGTCTGCAAATCTTTCTTCTTTTCAAAAAGTTTTAAAGTTTTAGTAAGCGTATTACGGCACTTGCAACACAATAAGGTCATATCATATAAGTGCCGAAGATTAGAGGTGTTACAAGAGAGTAACAAACACAATAAGGTCATATAAGTGCCGAAGATTAGAGGTGTTACAAGAGAGTAACAAACACACAAAAGAAGAAGAAGGAGAAGAAAGGACGACAGATGTTTGAAAGGAAAGAAGAAGCAAACCACACCACAGCACCCACCAACCTCCCACTCTCAATGTCTGTTCCAAGAACACTTAAATGGAAATAAAGATGTAGGAAATTCTGTATACACAGGAACAATAGAAGGCAACCCCCCCCCCCCCCTCCCAACCCCCAAAAAACTCAAGGCTAAGAACAAGTTAGTTAGAAAACTTGAACAGAAGTGTGATGGGAGAGAAGGATAAAGTGTTTTTTCTCAGCATCTTGCAGAGAAGTGAGAGGTGACCCATGGTCGTCTATGTCTGCTTCAGTTCTTGCACTTGAACAAGAATGCCCTTTAAATACTCAACATTAATTTATGAGGCAGAAAAATCATGGATTATTTGCAAGAACAAAGCAAGATACAAAACAAGAATAGATAAAGAAGGAGGGAGGAACAAAGAAGCATTATTCATCACCTACACTAACACAAATACAAAACGATAGAACTCATTATATAAACACCCTTAAGTACGCAATGCTCTTGTTTCAAATTCAACATTAGTCCTTTCTTACTGTGTGCAATGGCGTGTTCGTAACTTGTTCTCCAGTGGTGGAATATTGGGTATTTAGTATTTTTTATACGTATATTTGTGTGTTTAATTATGTATTTATGGTTGCCATTGTAATGATTATTTCATCACGGGTGTCAATAAAATGTAACTTATTACAATTATTACATTATTTATTATTATTATTATCATATATTTGTCATTCTTCTCCAGCAAACTTCCTGGTCTCACCTCTCTTGTGCTGAATTACTTTCCGACTTGCCGACAGCCGCCATCATTTTGCCAGCCCGCGTCTTGTCTTTGTTACTGTGAGCTTTGAGGAGACGACCCATCGTGTTTTCTTCCTGGGACACCACTGCATGATAAACACACAGAGAGAAACAACGGGGTAAATCTTTGGAAATGTTTCACTACCCTCCCCCACCCCCACCACCCAATCAACAAGATTGAGATCAAGTAGGGATGTGGGACACCACTGCACGATAAACACAGAGAGAAACAATGTGGTAAATCTTTGGAAATGTTTCACTCCCCC